CTCGTGCTCTCAGGTCCACCCTGACTCGGAGTAGCATCACCTGTTAGGGGTCCAGCTATAGGCAAATAGTTAATGCCCAAACTGGGGTGAAAATCTGTGAAAGTGTAAAAATAGGTTTTAATATCAGTAATACATTTTTTGTAAAAAAATATTACCAACAATACATTTTTCGAAGAAATAATTATTACCATCAATACATTATTATCAGCAATACATTTTTTGGGAAAGACAAGCAGCATTTGCGCCATTTTAGCATCATATTAGAATAGAATATCAACATTATCATTAAAAATAATTACCAGGCAATTGTGTTAATCAAATATATATTTCAATGTTCTATATCTTTTGAATTTATTTACAAATAAAAATTTGTTGGACTAAATAATATAACTGTCACTCAAAAAACAATTTATTTTTACATTTTTAATCTGACTTAATATTATGAGGTAAAATTCACGTACTCCATTTATCTTATAAATATTGAAAATTTTATTAAAATCTGTTAGTACATATTTTTTTTATGAGAATATTGACATTTTAAATCATTTCGCTCCAACAAGACAATAATACCACTAATATGCAATGGCTTATTGAAAATGACAGAGAAGATTTCATTGAGAACACAGGATAATAAAATAACAGATTTCAGGAAGATAGAAAATTGCCATTGACTGTGCATTTAAATTTTTGAAGATCGTAGGTGGCAAGGAAACAAGTAACTTACAATTACATCTCGCAATTTCAATAGTAAAACGATGAAACTTAGTTGCCAATCTAGTAACACGCTTAAATTCATTGCCAAGGAATCATCGCAGAAAAGACAGAGAAAACCACTTCACGACCGTGGGTAAGTGACTGAAGTCGAGATGTCAGGTGAGGACCTATAACATTACAGACCCATTTCATGATTTTGACGAGAATCTCGAGATATATAGCACGAGCATCAGACCAGATATGATAGCAATATTGAATGCACGGACGCATGGTAGATTTATAAAGGTGCAGGATGGATTCAGACGAGAAAGAAATTGACGGGCAAGACACAGTAGACCAAGATTACTAGTAGCAGATCTCGCAACTGAATCTCTATAATCATTATCCAAGATGGCGCAATGAGTTACTGGAAATTAGCATCAGCCATACTGATGGTAGACATAAATAGTTCTTTTTGATGACTAAAATATAATAGATTCGTTCTGGAGATATTAAAATTTACCAGCCATTTCTTGGCCCGGTTAACAACTGATTCGAGGTCATTGTACTTTATCGGACCTACTATTAAGACAAGAGTAAATGGTTTTCTCATCAGCATAAATACCGAGTTGGTGTTGACTACGTCAGGAAGGTCGTTGACGAAGAGAAATAATATCACGGGACCAAGGACAGAGTCCCGAGGGGAGCCCCGAAATAATTTAAAAGGATCTAGAAGTGGCCGTTCAAAATGACTTTTGTAATAACATTTTATATTGCCTTTGCAACTATAAGTTTATTGCTATAAATACATCGGCTAAACAGGATATTTTAATCTCATGATTCTCCAGTTTTGGTTTCACACTAAGTTGCCAATGTGTGGGTTTATGTATATATGATAACGCGGTTCGAATCTAACCATATCCGATTTTTCAATCAGGTGACGACTTGATGTTATCGGGATTGAGGCAAACACAGCGTGCGAATCAGTTCCAAAGTGGCTGAAAAAACGATTACGGATTGACGTAAACGTTGTATGTTAAATTGGGCTGAAAAAAAAAAACTCTTCGGAACCTGTAGATGTTTACACAGGCAAGAAGTCACAAGTCATCGGGACCGAGGGTCTGAGAGTACTGACAAAGATCAAAATGTTCATCATACTAGATTTTTCGCTCTCTCCCGGAAAATGTAAATAAAATCTACTCAGCATTGTCCCTGTGGGTGTTGAAGAAAAATAAATGTGCCTGTGTGACTTTTTCTAACATGGATTAAATGGCCATCCTGGAAGAAGGGTGTACTCGGACACAGTTAGCTAGCCATTATTGTGCAATATATATGAATATATTTGTATCATTAGTGTACTAACAGATGTAGGTGTAATAAGTGAATATAGAATGAAAATATTAAACTAGAAGCACCCGTGAAAATTCAAGATTTTCCATTGGAATTTCTTTCAATTTCGCAAAACACAAAAACGATCATACAACCCTGCCCCCCAAAAAAAAAAAAAAAAAAACGCAAAAGGATGATTCTTCCCATGACACCGCTATTAATTTAACTAACTTCACTCCCCAGCAATGTTTATTATTTTACAAAACCTAAATATATGACTGAATTTATACAATTTTCTTTCTTCTTGAGAATTGACAAATTAAATTATTTATTTACACTATTTACTTTTTAGATTGATATTTGGAATGTTTGGCAAAAAATCGAGTAATTGCAAATCGATTCGAACTTCATAAAATGGTAAATAATAAGGATTACCTTACAGTTGGCTCGCATATTTTAACAATTTTGTAAATGTTTATGAATTTAGGAATAAAAATGTTTTCATATTTATTTCTTTATAAATTGGCTAATGATAAATATTACTGTGCATTAGTTTTAATATAGTCTTATATAATTGTTTTTCGAGTGTTGTAAATATAAAATTATTCTTGTAAATAATAATTCTAATAAATAGCGTTTCATAATTTTGTTGTAAATTCGCAAGAACCCTCAAAATGTATAAATTGACTTTCATCATATATTTAGGTTTTATTACAATTCTAATCATAGCTTTTTAAAACAATAAACATTGCCGAGGAGTGAAGGTAGTTAAAATAATAGCGGTGTCAAGGGGAAAAAAACATCGTTTTGATACTCCGTTTTTTTCGAGCACGTAATATTTTACTAATTGTAATTCTTAAGTTAATAACTGAATAAGGTCCTTGAATGTTCCATGATTATCACATATCTGTGGATTTTCGCCCATTTCGTCGTTAGATATTTAATCCTAACAACTTCAGCAAAGTATTGCACAATCACTAGTATGGATACATGTTATTATTTAAAAAGTAAGAGGGTACAAATGAAAAGGTTTTCCATTTCACTGAAGCAGGCGTTAAACGTATGAGAGAGTTATCTTTCTCTCTTATTGTTACGTGTATTTCTTTTTCTCAATAAATCTAAGCAGCGTCACTGGTAGATATTTTATTTCTGTCTTTCCACGCAATCGAAATGGAATTGTTCATTATTTATTTTAGGCAATGTTTCGGCGTATCGCACGTGCAAACTAACAGAGGATAAACCAGCGTTATAAAATAAAATGAACTCGAATTTAACAATGTTCATCAATTCTTGTTACCAATTCTTGCTAGGGAAATCTTTCGTTGATTCTTGTTAAAATAATTCAGATTCCGACAAGTTGTTTCCAAAGAGATCATTTATAACAACGCTTTGATTTTGTTTTTTCCTTTTTAATTATTCACATCCCGTTGCATCTTGTCTTTCTGTCTCAGGATAGAAATATGACAAGATTTATCCGAGATGCCTATAGAATAGAGCATGAATTATAAGTCTGCCTCAGTGGTCAACTACCCAATTCAACAAAATACACAAAAACATGACGTTTCTACATTAATTTTACTGTCACACTAGTAACATCTGGTAAGAATACATGACTAAGTTTTTCATGCATAAAATCTATATTCATTTCTGATCTCCGATAGATTAAAGTCGACAGAATCGAGGTTATGTAGTTTCGGGTCTTTCTTCTAACGTCCGATCCTGTGAGAGTGTGAAGGACGATTTATAGAATTTTCCCTCGCATATTGACTTGCGTGTGTTTATTCAACGGCGCTCACGTTCAGACTTTCTTGTTTTAATCGAGTTTATCCTAAGCAAAGTAGTAAAGCCACTAACACATGAGGGATTACTGGGCGTGAAAGAATTAGAGACAGAAACATTACCAATGACCAAGAACAAAAAGAGCAGTTAGGACAGTGGATAGCGATTGACAGTGCATTTAAATTTTGCAAATTAATGTTGGCTGGAAAGCATGGAACCGGAAGTGATTTCCACAAGCGAGAAGTGCGGGAAAGGAAATGATAGCATAGAACTACGGTTTCGTCTAGCCAACCCAACTGTAAATTGATGAGATCTCGACGTCAGTCTAGTTCTTTCTTTTTATGTGCCATGTCATTTCAGGACATGGGCGAGCATGGCGCTCCACCTCCCTCTATCCCTTGCAGCCCCCAACAAGTTCCTTTTTTCTGCTTCCTCCCCCAGGCTATGTTCTGTTACCCACTTGCTTAAGCCCGTCTAGTACTGTGCTTATATTCAAAAAGTATATGTACCTTAACGAAGAGAAAGTATTTGTAGAAAAGATACAGGTAAGTCACATTATGACGGTGGGAAAGTGACTGAATCCGAGCTGCCAGATCAAGACCACTAACATTGCTAATTCTTCTTTGGATTCTCTCATGGAGCTCTCGATAAATCACAGGAGCACCAGACCATATTTGGCGGCAGTTTTCACTGGTTTCTCTATGATTCTTCCATGTGGATTACATTTCCACAGATGTCACGTTCAGAGTCTCACACGTTTTCCCCGTTAATTCTTGTCTGGCCTGTAGCTACAGTCAAAAATTGAAAAGGATCTTCTTAGGATTCATTTGATCTGAACATGAATTGTTTTGATTGAAGATGTAGAGCTAAAAAAAATTCTACAAAGTCATAGATAAAAAAGGAAAATGCATTGGCGGCTGAAGAATGATGCTATGAATTTATATGAATAAGAGATTTTTCCCAAATTCCCTGGGGTGTGAGGTCGGTTTTTTCATCATACGTATCATATAAAAATTGTTATCTTGAAAATAATAGCTAAAAGTTATAGAAGAGTTTCTCTTTTGTGCTGAATGCTGCCTGTTTTACAAACAGGCAGCATTCAAATATCTGGTTGTCCTTTATGCCTTTTGTGAATTGAAAAATGATAGTAGACAATAAGTAACTACGGGGAAACGATGAAAGAAAGAATATAAAATAAATCAGAAAAAGGAACAACGGAAAGAAAGGAAGAAAGAATGAAACGAACAAAGAAAGAAAGAAATAAAGAAAGAAACGAACAAAGAAAGAAACAAAAAAGAAAGAAAGAAAGAAACTAACAAATAAAGAAAGAAAAAGAAAGAAACAAACAACAAAGAAAGAAAGAAAAAAGAAACGAACAAAGAAAGAAAGAAAAAGAAGAGTAACAAACAAACAAACAACAAATAGAGAAAGAAACAAAGAAAGAAAGACAGAAAGAAACAAGCAAACAAAGAACGAGAGAAACAAAGAAAAAAGAAAGAAACAAACAAACAAAGAAAGAAAGGAAAGAAAAGAAAGAAAGAAAGAAGGAAAGAAAAGAAAGAAAGAAAGAAGGAAAGAAAGAAATAATCAAACAAACAAAGAAAACGCGAAAGATAAAGATTGTGTGTGAGTGAGTCTAATTAAAAGAGGTTTCGCATAAAATGTCTCATGAAAACCAGAACAAAAACAAAGAATTACTACTGAAATAAAAAAAGAACGAAGACTAGCAACAGAAGGACCAATTTTTCTGCTCCAATGTCTTTGGTTTGAATTGATTGGCATTCCATTAAGATGGTCAAATGTGAGTGAGTGAGTGAGTGGATGAGTGGATGTGTGAGTGAGTTAGTGAGTGAGTGAGTGAGTGAGAGAGTGAGTGGATGAGTGGATATGTGAGTGAGTGGATGAGTGGATGTGTGAGTGAGTGAGTGGATGAGTGGATGTGTGAGTGAGTGAGTGAGTGAGTGGATGTCTGAGAGAAGTAAAGAATAACAGAATGAGACATAATCAGTGAGAGAAATAAAAGAAGCCAAACAATAGAAATATGACATAAAATTTTGAAAAAAGTAAAAAATAATCTTCGAGAATTCATATTAGTAAAGGGGAAAAAAAGAACAAATTGTTAGCCTTAAATTATTTAAATTCTCAAACGAAACGATTTCTTCATCAACTTAATCAAGTTCTTCATTTGCAAAATTGAAACATCTCCTCCTCTTAGGATTAAAATCATTAAAGGCTACAGTGACGGGCAAAACTTCTTGACCAAAAACTTCTTGAAATTAATTAATTTTGCTAATTTTACCCCCAAATCGAAAGTGATTAAGATTACGCGCCACTCAGTACATTTTACAATTTTTGAGGGCTAGAAAACACTTTTTTAAATTTTTTCTATATTTTTGATAATGATGTATGGTAGATGAAAGAACATCTTAAGTACATTGATAAAGAAATAAAGTCTATGTAAAAATCCTAAGCTACCAACGAAAATTTCACCTTTCACCGCTTAAGTTAAGAAGGAGTTTGTTTTTTTTCACAAAAAAATATTTATTATTGTAGAAACATCAAAGGATGAAGTTAGTAATTACTGTTACCCAATTTATCGACCTCAATTCAATGTGGCATTAAATAGGGCAAGGTCAAGATTTTCTCATTGGGAATTTTTTTTTCTGTACTTGTTGGTCGTAATTCCCAAAACATAGCTATTGAGTTTTTTTTTTGTTTTTTTTTGGAGCACTTATTTCTTCAGTTTCCACCACAATGGTTTACTTATATTAAGATGTACTTTGTACTTGCCAGTTCCCCAACAGTTCAACATCTTCATCCGCAAGAAATCCTTTTGTTGGCCGTGATATGTTGCAAGAGATACCGTTATGCTGAAAAATTTATTCGTTTTCTCTTACACCATTTTTTCGCTGTTTAGTTTTCCATCAACTTTTACTGACTTTTTCTACTACCACTTCTGATGCAACCCCACAGCATCACATGACTGTAACCAGATAATACTGTCTATGTTGTGTAACTTGCATTGTTTCTTTCTCATGTCTCCATCAGTCAGTTATGTGCCATACGTGATACACGCTTAGGCGATGATGTATTTTTCGATACATGACTGACGAGGCAGATTTTTCCCGCAGTAGGTTGCAATTACTTTATGCGATAGACCAGTTGCCCTCCAAGGCTATAGAATCTGGTCTCTCTTGCTATTTACTCATAGCTGGGGGAGAGAGAAGAAAATGAGTCATACCTTTCCCAAGAGTATTAGCACATAAGTGAATGTAATGGATTCGATTGAAAAATCAGTCAGTCAATTATGTCCCATGCGTGATACACGCTTAGTCGATCATGTATCTTTCGATACATGACTAACGTAGCAGATTTTTTTCCCGCAGTATGTTGCCGTTTCTTTCTGCGGTAGACCAGTTGCCATTCAAGGCTATAGAACCTGTTCCGCCCTGCTATTTACACATATTTGGGGGAGAAGAAGATGATTCATACCTTTCCCAAGAGTATTACCACGTATGTGAACGTAATAGATTCAAGTGGAATTCGATCTCAGCTCTCCCTACATGTTCTATATTGCATTAGAATGTAACTATATTTTGTTATATTATCTTATATTATGTTCTATTGCATTAGAATGTAACTATATTTTGCATTTATCACTAAGCATTAACTTTTGCCATATTCCAGCATCTCATATTAGATGTTCTTTTGACCACTTCAATCTTCTTTTCTGATGTTTTTAATTAATGATTTTCTTGACTCACGCCTATTTACCTCACTGTTAAAACTGCATTCAGCCCTTAGTGGCTGTTACTTTTGAATTAATTTTGGACTCACACGGTCTTTCTTTCATCTCTCTTGTCTGACTTTTGTGGTTTTAAGATTCTCTTTGCACTTAAAAAAAACTTCCACTAAATAGCAAACATATTTTGGCCGGTTTGAACGATATTCCTGTCAATTTTCAGCTATTTGGCTATCTCTCGTTCTTCAAAAACCTAAGCTTTATTTTTGTTTCTTCAGAAATTTTAGCCATGATTATAGTGTGAAATCAAGCTAATGTTCAACTCCAATGACTTTCCAATGCATCTTTCACTCATATTAAGAAGAAGGAAAAATTCCTACTTAGAATATGGCATATCCTGACTTCATCACAGTTTTTTCATTGTAAACCTGGTTATGACGATAAACTACATCCGGCAGCAAAGCCTCTGATCGGGAGATTGGAGGTTTTGAGAAGTCTGGAACCACCTCTTAATTGTCGTTTATTGCCAAATTCACTCTTACACGGCGTTGTAGCACCTGTTAGTGTCTCAGCTATGGGCAAATAATGGATCCCCAAACAAAAACAAAAAAAATACTATGTAAGTATAAAAATATATTTTATAGTAACAACAACAGCGATACATTTATATATAAAAAAATTACCAAGATTAGACAAGGTAAAATAACCAGCAATACGCACATACTAACAAGTTGTAGCTACTTCACCAAAATACTAGCAAACAAGAACTTTCATTACATTAATCCATATATCTTACAATTTCTTAAAGAAAACTTTATTCCAAAATAAGAAAACTTCAAAATTTAATTACATATCAACGCCTCTAGTAATTATGTTCACACAAACACACACACACACACACATATATATATATATATATATATATATATATATATATTTCTATTATAAGCATATCACCCCGAGGAAGTGCCACTAGTACGCAAGGAGTTACAAAGAGTGAAAGTAAGAGAAAAGACTGGGTATGGGGGGGGGTGACGAAAGGGTAAAAAAGAATGGGGATCAAGGCATCAGAAGATGTCGATTGACATTACATTTAAATTTAAACCTAATAGCACGCTTAATTTCATGTAGACGGGGCACCAGTAAAAATAGATCGTCAGAGCAGTTGTGATGAAAATATTTGCAGAAAAGACAAAGGGAAACCAAATTACGTCGGTGAGAAAGTGACTGGATTCGAGATGCCAAGTCAGGACCGATCACATTGAAATGCGTCTTTGGATTTTGTCGATAACCTCGAGATGAACAGCGGGGACATCATACCATATATGGCAACAGTATTCAATGCAAGGATAGATTGTATATTTGAAGAGTTGACTCAAATGAGAAAAACCTTCTGGCACGACACAGAACCAACTTTCCCTGCAGTAGATGTAACTATTGATTCAATGTATTTGTTCCACCTCAGGTCAGAGGAAAACATGAGACCAAGAAGGCGCCGTGAGACGCTCTTGTGAAGTTAGGCATCAACCATACTGACTGGATGCAGGGAAGTTTCACTATGGTGGGTAAACGGGAGCAGTTTCAACATTAAAAAGATTACACAAAATTTAGCACTTAACAAGTGCTAAATTTTCCCAGCTAAATGGTGAACCTCTAATAAAAAATCAACAGTATATTTTTATTCTAAAATGACCCATAATACATTATTTTTAGCAAAATGACAATAAATACAACACTAAAAAAATGTAAACTACATTTTTATAGTAGAATTACGTACAAAATATTTAAATTTTGGCATTGAATAACCCACGACGGTGTCGATATGCCGCTAAAAATGATCAAACATCCAACATAAAAGAACATAACGTTAATCTATTTACATTGTTCGGACTATCATCCTCATCTTTGTTGCTATATTTATCACCATTCGCCTTCTTCACTTGGTTGGAATGTCGAACTGAACCCTTTATTTTGCTCGCTGGGGTAGACTCTTCTAGTTCCACGTGCCATGTCTAATGGATGCCAGTTATCTCCTGTTAATTCGTGCTCTCCAAGTTCTCCACCGCCTTAACCAGGTATTGAACTCACACTTTTTGGGTCCTGTCACTGAATCTCACTAACGCCTTTATCCACTATGCCATGTGTACTTGAGTCGATCTGTGTATGATTTATAATCTATATAATATCCTACAATTTCTTAAAGAAATCAAATCGTATTCCAAAAATATAACTTCAACAAAACAACAACATATTTTATCTCACAATTATGTCCGCACAAACATATATATACTCAAAAGCTGAATATCATCTACCATGTATTCAACTGTGAAAGCAGAATATCATATATATTTTTATTACTTCCAAGAAAATTAAATTTCGGCATTAAATGACCCATGAGGAGTTGACGTGCCGTTAAACAGACCAATCAATCGTTTTTCATTAGCCCAATAGTTTTACAAAGATCTTTTTGCCATCAAGTTGATTAAGTCGGTGTCTCTTCTTTTAAATGGTATGTATGAAAATTCAACAAGTTGTTTTCCAATCCTCGAAGCATCATTCATGAAAGACAAATGTTACTTCAAGTGTTGTTAGAAGACATATATTCCTAATTATTTTAATAAATGATGTAAATTCGACTATTTGAGATGTTTGCAAAACTACCATAAGTACAGACAAATTATCAAATCTTATTATATAACAAGTCAAGTGTACTTGTATCTTATTTGTATGTAACGTCTATAAATTTTAATATAACCAGTAGAATTACTATTCTAGTTGAAGATATGAATCCGAAAAGTAAAAAAATTGATTGATTTGTATGTTTTTTACGACTTATCAACCATTTACATATTATTTAAAGATTGTAAGCATTTTTTTTTTGGTGGTAGGGAGATAATAGTGTCTTACTGATACAAGTTCTACTAATTAAACCATAGCTGGAGTAATTGAAGAATTCATATCATTCTGATTGGTATGTGTGCATAAATGAGTATAAATAATGGAATTGGAACGCAACTCTCCGATTTCCAATTCGCAGCCG